CTGCCTGCCTAAGCATCAGTTTGATAATCTGGTTACTGTTTTATCTAGGTTAACTAGCCATAACGCACCTTGCTTACCTTCTTTTTCATCACCCTCTCTACCAATTTTTCAAAGAACAGCTTGTGATACATTTGCTTTATGAAGCACTTTTTGGTGAAGCCAACTCAGGTCTTCCAAGAGCCTGAAACTGACTTCTTGCAGTGATCATCTGTCTTATATAATGGACCCTTGAGCCTTTATACCACCCTCCCTTAGGTGATTACCATGTGGGTCCTAAAGCTTGTCTTTCTTCTTTTGCTTACTAGGTGATGAAGAACAGTAGTTGCAAAGGACCCTGACCAATTTTGCACTAAATATTGGTTACAGAAGAGACAACAGAGCATAGATGAAGTTCTTAGAACTGAGGATGGAAAAGATCTGAGTTGAGGCTTTGGTAACTCTCTCATTGAGTTCTTGAGTCCTGGAGCCAGAGTCCCTGAGTCTCTTGTGCATTTTGAGTCAGCCAAACACTGCTCTGTTCTAGACTAGAAAACTCAACATTGTGTTTAGTTTACTTATTTTCCCGAATAATTTGGTTGCTGAGAAATTTGGAAGGTTAACTATAAAGATATCTGAAAAGATTTTAAAATGTTGTCCCAAATGAAACTTATGTTGGAAATGTTGTACGTTGTTGTCAGTTGCTCTCAAGGCAGTTCTGACTCATGGTAACCCATGTGTGCAGAATAGAACTGCTCCAAAGGGCTTTCAAGGCTCTGACCTTTCAGAAGCACATCACCAGGTCTGTCTTAAGAGATGCCTTGGGGTGGGCTCAAACCACCAACCCTTGGGCTACTAGTTGAGCACTTAACCATTTGCATCACCAGGAAAGAGAAACTTTGTTACAAGTATTTATAAAAGAAACTTGTAGGAGAAAACCTTTATTTAAGCTGAGAAATTGTTCAAATAGATTGCCTAAATATAAGAATGAATTGTTTCCATCTTGTGCCAATCCACCTGCTTTTCACATCTTCATATCTTCTGAGTATCTAGTTGATGCTTGTTAAAAGATTATAAAAACTATCCTCCAATTAAAAGTTCCAAGTGTCTGAGAGTTCTGATGTGAGTTGAGAACTTCTACTCATTAAAATCAGCCTTTGTTTTTAGACCTTTTGACTCACTACATGTGTTAATAATTCACTTTTCAAACTTCCTTTCAGTACAGAGTGAAAAGGTAGAGCAGATGGGAAATTCAGAAAGATGGGATCAAGAAATTACTAGAAAGGAGGCTTTTTGAGTAAAATGGCTCTAAACATGAATGGCTGCCCCTTAGCATGTAAAAAAAAAAATAATGATGTGGTGACAGTTTGCCTAAGATAGTCCTTGCTGAAGCTTGCTGTCCAGTATGATGATGAATATTTGCTCTCTCTCTCCCTCAAAAGTATTCCTGTTTAGATGATCATTTATATACTCATTCTACTGGCAAATACCTTGTACCAGATACTATACTAAATGCTATATTTAAGCCTTGTAAAACCCCTGAAAGGTAACTGCTGTTTTCACTTTACAAATAAGAAGATGCTCAGAAAGGCTAAGTAATTTAGATGAGGTCACACAGTGATAGACCTGGGAAGCAAAAGCCAAGCCTAGCAGAATTTTAGTTGATTTTCCCAGCATAGGTCAATTAAAAAGGAGCTCTGGTAGCACAGTGGTTATGAATCGGGCTGCGAACTGCAAGGTGAGCAGTTCGAAACTACCAGCTGTTCTGCCAGAGAAAGATGAGGCTTTCTGCTCCCATAGAGATTTACAGCCTCGGAAACCCTGTACAGGGTCGCTATGAGTTGAAACTGACTCCGTGGCATATAACCACTACCATCACCACCATGTAGATAAAGGTTTATTGTGTGTGGCCTCCATTGATCTATTTAGACCTAGAGAAATAGTTCTATAGTGCTAGTGAAAATTTTGAAGAAATAATGCATGGAGCATGTCTGAATAAGGGTCAAGTCTGTGGTGGAAGTAATAGGGATGAAAGTTCTATTTAGATTCCATAGCTTCTGGATTTGTGTAGCCTTTGGTTCCTTGAGGGCCTAAATAAATTTACACAGACCTAGAGCCCTTTAACTTAGAAGTGGGGGTGGTTGTGGTAGTTAATAGGTTGATACTGCTTATACTTTTAATGTGGGAATCTTGTTAAATGTAGATTTATTCCATAGGTCTCAGATGGGGCCTCTGCATTTATAACACAAGCTCCAGATGTTGCTGTATGAATATTGTCTGCCAAGCTACACTTTGAGTAGCAAGAGTATAGTTGAAGATTATCATTGCCTCAGGTAGTCATAAACATTTAGAATCAAAACAAAAAGCTATTGCCAGTCAGTCGATTCCAACTCACAGCAAACCTATGGGGTACAATAGGTCTGCACCCCAGGGTTTCCAAGAATGTAAATCTTTATGGAATCACACAACCTTACTTGTCTCCTGTGGAGTGACTGACAGGTTAGCAGTTCAGTGCTTAACCACTGTACCACCAGGGTTCCTGTTGTTATTAAATGCCGTCGAGTCGGTTCCAACTCATAGCGTCCCAGTGTAAGATTTCTGAGGAGCGACTGGTGGGTTTAAACTGCCAACCTTGTGGTTAGCTGTGCTTATCCTATAGTGCCACACCAGGACATAGATTGTTGTTATTGTTAAGTGCTTTCAAGTTGGTTCTGACTCTAGAGACCCTGTATAGGATTTCTGAGGAGCAGCTGGTGGGTTTGAACTGCTGACCTTCTGATTCGCAGCCCAGTGCTGATCCTACAGCGCCATACCAGGAATCCAGGATGTAGACAGATATCCTGATTTTAGAGAGGGAGGGGAGAAATGGCTGCTTTTAGGCATGTTAAGTGTCATTGAGTCGGTTCTGACCCATAGCGACCCTGTATAGGGTTTCCAAGGAGTGGCTGATGAGCTTGAACCACTGGCCTTGGCAGTTCAAACCAACTTTGCAGTTCAGTGTATTAACTTGCAGTGCCACACCAGGACTTTTAGGCATAGGTGTCCTCAGATTGGGGTACAAGAGACCCCAATATATAGCTGGTTTAAGGGAGAATTGATGGTTGATTAGGAGAGTTTTTTAAGTAAGCATTGTTTTTGTAATGAATACACACAGATTGTTTTAAAGTGTATCCTCTGTCTGCGGGAAGAGTACAAACAGAAAAAGAAAAGGGAGTGGCCTGGGTGGAAGCCGCACTGCATGGGTAGAAAGGCGACAGCCTGTGAGAAGTGACCTGGGCTTTAGCAGACTGACGGAGCAAGCAGAGTATCTATAGCCGGACAGGAATCGCAGGAGTGGATGACGCAGCAACAGAGCACCTAAAAAAGCCTCTCAGGGGAGGAGGCTCTACCACAGACTGACCATTTTCCACTCTGGGGTATGCCTGAATGCCTATAGACATAAACTGTGTGCCTCTGGCCAACACTTCCTGTAGCTTACTTCATTATCCCCCTCTCTCCTGCTCCTCAGGCCGTGTCATGGGAGATCCTAGGTGGTGGTACTTCTATATTATCTTACTTCTCCCTGCAACAAGGGGAGAATAAGCAGAGTGGAATGTTCCTAGTCTGGTCTAGGTATGAGGAACCTGCCTGCTGAGGATGGGGCCTTTGTCCCACCTTCCTTTCTGAGGAGGAAGCCTGGTGACTGAGGGTCATACCAGAGAAGGTTCATTGGTGAAGAGGAAGGTGGTGGAGGCTCCAGAACCGCTGGGCAGAGCTAAACATTGCTGCTAGAACAATTTGAGGCATCAGAAAAAGGGTGTTGGTCCTGGGAGTACTCCTGAGAGAGGCCTCAGGCAATTAAAGGTTTATCAGTGGCACCCCCATGTGGTAGGTATAGAGCTGACAGAGCCAGGTGAGGAAAGTGCCTCAGCATGCTACTTCTGAGTGGGCATAATACTACTTGAGAGAGTTTCTCTTGTTTTCATCTCAGACACTGCTACTGAGGAGTGTTTCCTTAGTCTGTGCCTGCAGTTATAGGAGTGAGGGGAGGAGTTGTACTGCTCATGGCTGATGCCAGGACCATGGACTGTCCTAGTCAGGGCAGGCCTTACTCGGGTTGTGGGCCATGTTCTATGTGTGGTAGTGGGTTTCTAGAATAGCCTGATGACCCCTCCCACCCCCCATTGCCAAACCTGAGCCCTTTTCTCTGTGATAAGCTGCTCCAGACACGGTGGTAGTCCCTAGTGGCCAGTATATAGTGGTGTTCTGAAGGTTATCACAGTCTTCGGTGGTAAACATTGCTGTGTCAGGGTGCTAGCGGCTCAGGGACCACTTGGAGCACTGGATTTTTGCTAGCAGGATTGTGAAGCTTTGCATTGGGCTGTGGAAGCAGGGCTCGAGCCAGCAGCTGGAGAGAGTCCAGGACTAGAGTGTTTTTGGGTTTGGGGGTGGAGAGTGGAGGGGGGAAGGGGGAAGGGAGGGGCAGGAGGGCAGAGCTACATAAGCAGGCAGTCGACTGCTTTGGCTTTGCTGTTGGCAGAGAGGACTTCAGTCGTGCCTGAGGACCGCTTGGCCACCATTGCTAGAGACTGGAGGCCGCCTCCTCGCCACCCTGACTTACTGGCACTGCACTCGGACTGTTCCAAGTGGCTGTTGTGCTGTCTTTTCCCTGGGAGGCAAGTCTCCTCCCTGTCGTCCCCTCCTGCTCCTCCCCCGGTCTGTGAGGGATGATGCCGCTCTCTATTGCACGGCTCAGCCAGCTGATGTCACTGGCAGCGGGAAGCATCAGCAGCCTGATCACATGCTGGCTCAGTCTGTAATGCAGACGGGATAGGGGTGTGTGTGTGGAGAGGGGGCTATATGGCAACTGCTCTTGCTCGAACGCCCCCAAAAGTGCAGAGGCAGTGGTTGCAGCATCCAGTTAGCTTGGATGTCTGGTTCCTGAGCCTGGAGAAACTATTATTAATAATATTTATTGTTGGTGATATTAGGGAAAACAGCCCTTAACTCTGGGATTCTGCTGTCTATCCTCTTGTCCAAAGCAGACTTCCAGGACTCTGAAGAAACAGTTACGAACAGGATGCTTTTCCCCACCTCTGCGCAAGAATCTTCCCATGGCCTCCCAGATGCAAATGACTTGTGCCTTGGCCTGCAGTCCCTTAGTCTGACCGGCTGGGACCGACCCTGGAGCACCCAGGACTCAGATTCCTCAGCCCAGAGCAGCACACACTCGGGTGAGTGCAGGAGAATGAGTTGGCTGGGGGAGGGGGTGTATGGGGTGATAAAGATATCCACAGCAACAGTTGTTCTGTTCCCCTTTGCATCACTCCCCCTCCCCTACACACACACACACACACACACACACACACAACATGGAGCTGTTTTGCAAGAGATGTAGATGTTGGCTGTAAGTGTGGCAGGACAGATGGTTGCTGGAAAAGACAGGTATGGCTTTTCAACTTACCTGACAAACCCTCTGGAGTTGTTAGTCTGCACCTGGGGTGGCCCTGAGAAGGGTCCCTAAGGTGACAACCTTATGCAGAAAAGATCCAGCTAACCCCCTGGTGCCCAGGCCTGTCTTAGAGATGATGAAGCAAAATACTTTTAGGTGGGGGAGGGGACTTCAGGGGCTGATCTGGATGTCCAGATTCCATTTCTCAGTGGTTTTTAAAAGTCGGGAGCTATAGGTAAAGGATGGGTGGTCCTTGAATCAAGGCAAGGAAAGAATTTTAGCCCCAGGTGAGGCTAGGTAATGTCAGGATGGTAGAACCGATAACATAAGAGGGTTGATCCTGGAAGGAGGAGGTTGGCAAGGTAAGAAGGATGGGTAATTACCAGCTACAGAGGCTTTTTTCTTTTTTCTTTGTGTTAAGGGTAACCAGGTAGATAAATGAAGAGCAACTCCTCTTTAGGGTCCCTTGTCACGTTGGTAGGATTTGATGGGACAGATAGAAGGGACTTCTTGGCAGCCCCTTTCAGAAATGCTTTTGTGCAAGCCCCCTCACCCACCATTGCCCACTTACTTCCCTCTTGTGGTGCAAGCCAGTGGGTTGAATGAAGTATTTGGGGGGAGAAATGTGAACTTGAGAAATCCTCTAGGTTTACTTAAAATTTGCATATTTTACTTTATATAAATAATAATAAAAATTGTATTGACAGCGGGGACATACGAAGATCAAAAGGTAATAAGCAGTGGGGTAACAGGGAAACCATTTGCTCCTGGTGCTGACAGTCTGTCATCCTTCCTTTACCCCTCACAGCCACCCCGCCCGACAAGGTACTGTCTAGTTCATTTCTGTGGCCTCTACCCCGTTTGGCGCAGGTCTTTTTTTAGACTGTTTTGCAGAGCCTGGGACTGTTGTGTCTGTTTGGCATTTTAATGCCCAGTTGTTTATGTAAAATCTCTTTTGATTGGTGAAGAGGATTGAATTGATAATATTTTTTAAATTTGGATATAGGTAAGGAAGACTTTGATTTAATTTTAAGAAAATACCTCTGGGTTGAGGTAGGGTTTCTTGACGTATTCTCCTTCAGCTTGTACCGGTTTTTTGAGGGACAGACTGGTAACCTCCCCTGTGCAAGTAAGTGCAACTGTTTTGTATTCTGTGCCTGGAGATCTTGTCTCAGAGATCCTGGTAGTTTTTTTTGCGTAGTAGCATTTTCAAGCTAACCTGGGTAGTTAGTAAAGCCAACCTTGTCCTGTCCCTACTCCCACTGTGTCTGAGCAAATGACGGAAGAACCCACTTAGGAGATGGGTATCTTTCTGTGGGTGATTGGGTTTGACAAGGCATACACTTTCATTGGTATCCAGTTGGGGTATGGCTCTTCTTGGGCTCTGGTTTCTCTTAGTTTCAAGAGTGCTTCTGAAACGTGTCACTGTAACAAACCTATAGACATGCAGGTGGGTCCAGCCTCTGAGGCTTAAAGAGGTTGGTCTGAAAGTTACTGTACAATTTGATGGTGAAAATTAACTTGGGTCCAGTCATAATTTCTCCAGCTTCTCTACTCTTGTGTCTGTAGCTGTTTGTCTCTAAATTGTGGGTGGATTTACTTTTCCACACTCCATATCAAGCACTTTATTGATAAGCATTACTTGATTTTGAGAAGCAGGGAGGGACTGCAGTGTGTGACCCCAGAATTCACAGGAACCTAGAGGGTTGCTCCAGTGGCATGATCTTGTTATGGGCAAGGTTAACATGGCATCTACTTGTATTCTGTTCTGAGGACTGAGCAATCCCTGATTGTCCCACTTCAGTTTATAGAGCCATCATGATGGCTACCTCTCTTCTGCTTATCTGTGGACCCTTTGGAAGTCCCACTTGAGAGTACCGCCTCCTGGAGTGGGATGCTGCCCTCCCACCAGCCAGCTGCAGCACCAGATCGTGCACTCTCACCAGCAATGCGGGAACATGCAGCCCACATTCTAGTGCCTACACTGTCTTTCCATCTGAAGACGGACTAGCTCAGTTTCATCAGGAGGAGGGAGGAAATATTTCCATAGCTCTGGCCACTCTGCTGCTCCTTCAGCACAGAGTTGAGAGTTGAACAAAATTTTCTGACTCTGTCTCCTGGTACATGAAACAGTCTGGGAGTTATTCTTGCAGACAGCCTCGTTACCCTAGCTATCTCTGTGGGACCCATAGTGCAAGCTTAGTGGTGTATTGTTCCAGGCAGCTGTGACATCATATCTGACTGCCTTCTACACTCTTTTTTTAAAAATATTCAACAGTGTTGTGTGAGGCAAGGTTGGAGATAGTAGGATTCTTGACTGAAAATCTTGACTACATTCATTCAGCAACCATTGAGCACTGGCTGTATGCCAGGTACTGTGTTAAGCACTGAAGATACATCAGTAAATAAAATTGTTGCTCATGAGGATCTCCACAATTGTCCAAGGAAAAACAGCTAAGAAAGCATACCATATCAGCAGCATGGTAACTGCTGGGGTGTGGACTTCCACTTTCTCCTCTAAAGAATTTTTTGTGTTGGGACAACCTTTCATTGGCTGCCAGCATAATACTGGTTGATGGGACTGTTCTTGTTCTCCAGGGGCTAGGGCCCTCTGCTATGGGGATTTTACTGGCCTCTGATCCTGGAGTGGAGCCTGTCCTTGAAAGTTGTGCCTGCAAAGCAAAGCCAGCATTGGTTTGGATGTGGTCCTTTGGGTGGGGAGGGGCGTGTCTTTCCCCTCGAGACTGTGCTACCTTGAGACCCTTTTGTTGTTGTTATTAGGTGCCACCAAGTCTGTACAGACTCATGGTGACCCTGTGCACAACAGAATGAAACACTGCCCGGTCCTGCGCTAACCTCACAGTCGTTGGCTACTTTAGTGCCCATTGCTGCTGCCACTGAGACTCTTTAGGAAAGCCCTTTTGTTGTTGTTGTTAAGTGCTGTCAAGTCAGTTCGAACTCATAGCAACCCTGTAGAGAATCTCCCAAGGAGTGGCTGGTGAGTTTGAACTTCTGACCTTGCAGTCCAGCACCATACCAGGACTCCCCTTTAGAGAAGGTAAATGTTAGAAGCCAGTTTTTCTCTGAGATCCCAGTGGCATGTGTCCAGGGCCTCCTTTGTCCTGTTTGTATTGTCTGAAGGTCCTATAATGTAATATCAGGGCTAGGAAAGCTGTTCTTTCTCCATATCCTGGGATGAGGGGGTGGAGTGACTAATAGCTACCATTTATCGACTTCTTCCTATGCTAAGTACATCACATGATGTTAATGCTTGCACAGCCCTGTGAGAATGGGTACCACTAATATTCCTGTCTTAAACCTGTTGCTGTTAAGTCGATTCCAACTCATAGCAAGCTCATAGGACAGAGTAGAACTGCTGCATAGCGTTTCTAAGGATAGAAATCTTTACAGAAGTAGGCTGCCACTTTCTCCTATGGAGCGACTGGGGGTTTCAACCACTGACTTTGGTTAACAGCTGAGACCTTAACTCCTGTGCTACTGGGATCCCTCATTCGTATCTTGCAGAGTGGGAAATAAGCTCACAGAGGTTGCAAAGGGCCAAAAATGAAACAACTGCAGGAATTCCAGTTCAGACCCTTTTGGTACCCAAACTTACATGCCTTCTATCATGCCTGTGTTCCTTTGAGCATAACCCTAATGTGCTGACAAAAAGTCTTAACTTTTAAGTTGAACCCTTTTGTATACCAGTAGAATGGAAGTTTTCCATGAACATTTGAAACCCTCTCATATTGTTCAGCCAGAGACTTTGTGCTTATTTGGTGATATCCCTAAAGGCTGAGGCACATGATCAATAGTTTTGTCTCCCTCTCTACCTGAGTCTCTGCTCATCAGCTGTATCACCCACTGGAATTGTCTTCTGCCTTCTCCCTGTGACTCTTTCTCATGCAGCATTACTCAGCAGCAGGAGAGTGGGGTGACCCTGAGATCTACTTTGGGGGACCTGGAAATAAGGATTCTTAATGATGACTGCCTTGTCCTGAAGTCCAGCGGGCAGACCAGATGCTTAGTCTAAGGATGCCAGAGGATAGGTCCTGTTTCCTCCCACTCACTTTTAGAGTCCCTTGAGGATTAACCTGTTCATCCTCTCTGGTTTCTATCCTGTTAACTAGTGAATGAACTGTTTCCTGTGCTGTGTCCTCACAGGCTTCTTAATGATCTGTCAGTTAGATCAGCCTAGGACAAGAAGTCTTCACTATTTTGCTTCTCCTGCTACTCTGTTTCTAGTCTCTTCCAAACAGTCTTTTGGAGACAGTCTTCAGAATTCGGTTGGACCCCTTCTATGTGAAACATGGATTTTCTGGGCCTAACCAAGGTCTCCTGAAAATCTGCTAAGATCGGTCAAATTCTCCATTATAATGTGTTTCCCAGAAGGTAGCACAGTATCTGGCTCTAGTGTTTTAAATAAATATTTATTGAATGAATGGTGATTGCTGAACCACTGTGTTAATCACAGGTGCTTTTTAACTGCCGAGTTCTCCCATTCTTATGCCTCCTCCTTGTGTTGATCAACTGGAGAGACAAAATCTAGGGCTCCCACAGTTTCTAGAGCATGATGATGCATTTATGGAAAGTTTTTGTCTTACGCTGAGGCATGCATAGTCCTATCATGGAATTGAATAGTCTACAAGGATAAGTCAAAAAGTATTGCTATAAAATCAGACACTTTCATTAAAAACACCAAAATGTGAGGCTGCTGTTTCTCAACGTGTCTTCCACTTAGGTCTGCATACTTCTAAAGGTGGTGATTCTATCTCTCTGACC